TTCAAATGTCGTGTAATCGGAATTGATTCTCGGCGAATTACTTTTTTATCTCAACTAAAAACCATAATTAATTGTAATATATTAATTGCTCAAGCGGACCACGAAATTAGTGAATTTAATGAATTAAAAATGAAGTATACTTCACTAAAGCAGTGCGATTTTTATAGATAGGTTAAATTGCACAGTTGAAAACGATCAAAATAGTAATTTACATTACTAAAAAAATATTTGCTTTTAAGGCCAATTGGTAAGCATCACGTTTTGTATTTTCCAGGCATAATTCAGACATTTTTCTCCGTTCAATTCCAATCAAATCAAGAACATTGCTATATTACAGGTCGGAGAACTGTTCCGTTTTTCGAAACAGTCAGAAACAGTCAAACACTAACTTCTACTGTTTCCCCTAAAATAAAGATTGGTTAAAAATCGTTCTTTATGCAGGGCGGATTGGATTGCTTTTATTTTCCTATCGATTGGGGAGGCTGCCAGAAGTTTCAAACCTTGAAATCTTTTTTTTCCACGTTACAACCACGAAATATCCCAATTTACTGTTCACATTGAGGCAATATGAAAACCGCAGGAAAGTTAATAAAACAAGATTGCCAATCTATATTGCATTAGACGCTTTTTGAACGATTAAAAACTTTCATCAAGAATAATTAACCTTTTTGAAACAAAATGTAGGATTAAGCTAAAAAAGGGAACTTTGTTTATAATTAATTTGAATATACGTTTTATATCTTTTTCCCGGCTTGATTCAGCAGAAGATTAAACGTCTGAAATATCTCAGCGAAGGAGAAGGACGTTTTAAATATATTATAATTCAAGTTAAGTAGCGAAGCTCCGTGGCGTGTATAAGCGATTGGAAAGCTTTTAGGGAATAACAAAACACAATAACAAATGCAACTGGATTACCGATCGAAAAGGTATTGGAAATAATCAAAATCCGCCTACGTACAACATTTCATAAATTTTTCATATATTTATTTTAATATAGGTTTTATTGTTCTTGAACGTGGTAGAAAAATTTCCATTAGACTGTTTTTGCTTACTGGTTGGATCAGATTTCAGTATCTCATTTTATTCCATGAGAGGCGGCTGGATTGCATCTGCAGCTTTCTGCCATTTTTGCCCGCGTGGCTTCTCGTGTTGTTTAAATTTTATTGAAATTTTTTTCGGAACGATTAAATGGCTTTGATAGAAAGTTCATAACACGTCGATCCAGGCGTATAATTGATAGGGGATTGTGTAATTTTAGGTAATTTGATACGCGGGTTATATTTTCATGGACAGAACGGCGCTGTCACAGATAGTCCAAAATCAGGAGAGTTATTTTAGAAAAATTGTGGAACTTAAAATTTATATGTCAATCATCAATTCAATTATAATACTCCACCATGACTTACCTGTATTTCGGTCGACATTCTCTCAATTTCTTCATTTTTATTTCATCCTATCTCTCTCGTCTCCTTTTCTATCTCTCTCTCTCCCTCTCTCAATGTATCTATCTTTCGATTCATATTTTAATCTTCACTCACACTTTCTCACCCACTCTCTCTTTATCTTCCTATTTAACAATCTACTGTTTATAATTATTCAGAACTCGTTAGATGCGGTCTGGTGTGATGTAGGTTTCAGAAAAACATTTTCTTTATCGTGTCAACGTTTCGATCTTTATTGAGATCATCTTCAGGTACCCTGGGATTTATAAACATTTTTTAAATATCGAAATACATGTAGCATGTGAAAAAATGATTTTATACATTACTAGAAATTTAACAAACAAATACTTTGATTGAGTCTAAAATTTCTAGCAATGTATAAATTTATTTTTTTCACATCTTACAAGCATTTGTGTATATAGACAATGTTTGTATTTCCCAGGCCCTGAAGATGATCTCAATACAGATCGAAACGTTGGCACGACAAAGAAAATGTTTTTATAAATTAATCTAAAGTAATATTTTAACGGCTATGGTGGGATTCGAACCCAAAACACCTACGGAACTCCGCAAACCACACTACAAATAAAAAGGCGTTAAATAGGCTAAACCCGCGTAACTCACGTGTGTTGCGTAACTGTTGCTGTCTCGCCTGGTTATGTAATTGATTATTACATTTTTATGAAGTTATAATAATCATTTCTGAAGTCGTTGTTTGCCCATATATTTTTACTATAACAAATAAAAATATTAAAAACGTTTAAATTTTTCCCATAAATGTTTTTAAAAAACTCTCAACACGACCCGCAAGAATGGCACAATTACACAGAAGACTTTGAGCCCTGAAGATGATCTCAATAAAGATCGAAACGTTGGCACGATAAAGACGATGTTTTTCTGAAACCTACATCACACCAGACCGCATCTCACGATTTCTCAATAATTATCGATCGACGGTCACTGATCACCATTCACTGTTTATAACATTTTGACTCTATGATTCAATTATTTATCTTTTCGTCTATCAACATTTATCTATCTACCTCTTACTCTAAGAAATTTTTGAAGCGTGAAATATTTAATTCCAAAAATGTAAAACAGTTTTTCTTTTATTCTGTATTTATTTGTTTAAAATAAATTGTACAAACGGAAATATTCTGCTTAAATTTTTGTGTGGTATATAATGTTCAACTCATTTCAAGTGGAAGAAAGGAAAGAAAACCGTTTAATCAATCACTCAATCATCCAATCATCTATCCATATTCCTAACCTTCTCCCTCTCCCTCTCACTCGCTCTCTCTCTCTCTCACTCTCTCTCTTTCTCTCTCTTTCTCTAACTCTATCTAACTCTCTCTCTTTCTATATCTATATATCTATCTCTCTATCTATCTATCTATCTATCTATCTATCTATCTATCGATCTATCTATCTTTCTATCTATCAATCTATCTATCTATCTACCTATATCTTAATCTCCATTTATCTATATGTATTTCAATCTATCTATTTTTTTTTCACTCTCACTTTCTCACTCACTCTCTGTTTATCTACCTATTTATCAATCAATATATTAATAACAATGTAACACTATTATTTATTAATCTATCTTTTTGTCTATCTACCACTTCATCACTCTCTCTATTTACCTATCTATCAATCTGTCTATCCAATCTCTCATTTACTCACATAATGACTTTCTCTCTTTTTTATCTCTCTCTCACACTCTTTCTCTCTCTCTTTCAATTTTTGCTCTAGTAGCAGTTATCGCATTTTAAAATAAAAATAATTAATACATAATAAAATCATGGAATCATAAAATAATTAATATTATGTGTTTTGTATTCTTTAAATAATTATAATAATACAAAAATTAAAAAGTAATTGGTTAATTAATTAAAGTCATGACTAACTACGAAACATTTTTCCTAAAAATTATATTGCTTATTTTTTCTTTTTTTAAATTTTTATTCATTTTTTATATAAATAAATTCATATTGTCTTCTAAATTTATAAAGTGAAAAAAATTTTGAAACGTGCAATATTTAATAAAAGACATGTAAAAGTATTTTCTTGTATTCAGTATTTATTTCTTTAAAATAAATTGTAAAGATCAAAATAATATGCATAAATTGTATGTTTAATATATAATGTACAACATAACTCATTTTAAGTGGAAGAAAGTTCAACGAGACCTAACTTTGCCTGGTTAAATAAAACGTTTAATCAATCACTCAATCATCTATATATCTTTATATATANTTATATATATATATATATATATATATATATATATAAAATTCTATCTCTTTCTTTCTAGCTGTACACAATCTTTTCGAAACGTATTTTCAAAAATTCGAAAATTATTATCCAGTCGCTCTCTCACTCACATTCCATTTTTACGTCGTTCTATTTGGTCTCCCTTTCCCTTTCTCTTTCCTTTTCTTTCACTCTCTATCCCTCTCTCTCTCCCTTTACCTCTCTTTTAAGCTCAAGTTCTCAATCTTAACACTTTTTTTGCATATCGTGTAGCTGCATATGTGCAGGAAATACTAGTAATGGAGGTTTTTGGTGCTTCTTACAGAATGAGGTTGCATTTACAGCTATGTGAGTAAAAGGAAAATAGATCTGCAGAATAGAAATTGGATGAACAGTGAAATGGGTTTTTAATTAAATTTTGTTTGCCTTTTAATGCAGTTGTATCACCGGCATTAATTGTTTATTATCTGTTGACAGTTCATTTAGGATACGAGGATTATTGCATAAATGATTAATTGACTTAATTGACTGAGTATATCCAGTGACATTAGTTTGTCCAAAAAAAAACGATGGTTTCGTTGGATATAAAATATCTAGGCTTATATCGTATGCAGTGCAATACCAACACGATTGGAAAGATTCAAAACCACAGTGAATTTTTATATTAAAATCATCCCCAATTAAAATTGCCATACTAAATTTTCCATTGAAACTAAGAAAACTTTTGGAATTATATTTATAACGCGCTCATTCTGTCCCTCTTATGTTTTATATATATGGTTAGATAATGTGGTTCTTGTGTTAGAATGACTGTAAGAGCGTGGCACGTATCTCGACCCAACACTTGTTGATTCACCCTAAACGCTTCGACAACAAGGGTACAACTTTCAAGGGTTCAAGGGCGGGAAGTGTAAATAAACTGTAAAAGTGAAATGTAAACTTGCAACGAATTAGACGGGGAAGGGGGATAAAAACATCCTGACACTCGGACAAATAATCTCTTTTGAGCAGATTAAAACTCGCGGAAGAAAAGATTTCAACTTCGCCAGGACGGCTCCGGTTTTCAGAGTTCAATTAAGTTGAATTTCAAAGAAAAAGTTGAAATGCTTTCTAGAACGTTTTCATCCGGCTCATTTGCGACAGAACACCTCTTGTTACTTTTAAACGTTGGAAATTATTTTGTGTACAATACCGATTTATTTTGCTTATAAAATGCAAAATAAATTGTCTTCTATTCCTTTATATTGTAAATCCAATAAAAAATGAAATATAATGAAAATTTTCTAACTGAATAATATTTACCTCCATCTTCTTCTTCCGGCTAGTCAACGTTGGCGATTCAGCATCATTTTTTGAACCTAGAACAGGAAAATTAATACAAAAATTAAAAAAGTTCTACAATATAAAAAAATACATATTCTTGCTTCCTTTTTTTTAACAACTCCAATTACAAAGACCCAAACTTCATTGTACTGTATGACAGCAGGTCTGCCTCATTATTTTGCCTTGTTACAGTATGTATAATTGGTAACACAGAGCGCACGTCATGACGGTTGGAGTCGGAGTGCGAAGATCCAATTTATCTGACACCCACGACTTCCACGTCGAGAATAAAAACGGCTATTCTTTTGATGTGAAAGTGTGAGAAAATTACAAAAAGTTTATTCGTTACGTTTTTGGCAGTTTGTATTTTTGATGTTGACTCACCGAAATATTTGTTTATAAATGGAGAAGTTTATTTACTTCTAATTGACGAAAAATCGAAAATTAGTTTCATTCAATGGACCATTTCAATAAAATGGATAAATTCATTTTCTAGTGTTCTTAACTGAATTTTCCGATTAGACAATGTTTGTTAAAACTTTCTCATTTTCTCTCTTTCTCTATTTTTTGGTTATTAATTTCTTCTTTTCAATCTCTTTTTCACTCTTTCTCTTTTTCTCAATAATACACAGAAAGAAAATATCTCAATATTCACAGTACGGTGAAAAAGAATTATTTATCTAGAAAATGTAATAAACTATTTTTTACATAATAAAAAAGAGAATAAGAATACTTGTGGAATTTGTAATTAATATTAAAAAAAGTAAAAAGATTTTCAAGAATTCCACGGCGCCGGCATTATGCTAAACCATCATGACAGTTCGGTCTTACAGAACTAATGAACGGTGCCCCGTACATCTTACACTTTTTTATCTCTCTCTCACCCATTTTCTCTCACTCGCTCTCTCTCTCTCCCGCTCTCTCTTTTATCTCTCAGTCTCATTATTTTTCTCTTTCACTTACTCTCCCTAACATACTATCTCTCTCTTTTTCTTACATTCTGTTTGTATTTTTCTTCTTCTCTCTCACTTTTTGTTTCTCCTTTTACTCTCAGTCTTTTTCTGCCTCTCTCCCTCTCTTTTCTCTATCTTTCTCTTTTTCTTTTACTTATTCTCTTTAACTTACTATCTGTCTCTTTACTTACACTATGTTTGTATTTTCCCTCTTCTCTCCCTCACCTTTTGTCTCTCCTATTTCTCTCAGTTTATTTGCTCTATCTCTCTCTCTCCCCATCCCTCTCTTTTTCTCTCTCCCTCCCTTTCTTTCTATCTCTCTTTTACTTACTCTCTTAAACTTACACTACATTTATATTTTCATTTCTTTTCTTACACTATATTTATATTTTCCCTCTTTTCTCTCTCTCTCTTTTTATCTCTCCTTTTTCTATCTGTCTCTCTCTTTCTCTCTCTCTCTCTCTGTCTCCCCATGCCTGTCTTTATCTCTTTCCCTCCTTCCCTTTCTCTCTCTCTTTTACTTACTCTCGTTAACTTCCTCTATCTCTCTTTTCTTACACTACGTTTTTATTTTCTCTCTTCTCTCCCTCTCACTTTTTATCTCTCCTTTTTCTCTCAGTCTATCTCTCCCTCTCTCTCTCCATACCTTTCTTTTTCTCTTTCCCTCCTTCATTTTCTCTCTCTCTCTTTTACTTACTCTCGTTAACATACTCTCTCCCTTTTCTCACACTACGTTTGTATTTTCCCTCTTCTCTCTCTTTCACATTTTATCTCTCCTTTTTCTCTCAGTCTATTTCTCTCTCTCTCTTTTTTCTCTTTCCCTCCTTCTCTTTCACTCTCTCTTTTACTAACTCTCGTTAACTTACTTTCTCTCTCTCTCTTTTATTAAAATATTTGTATTTTCCCTCTTCTCACTCTCTCACTTTTTATTTCTCCTTTCTCTGAGTATATTTCCCTCCCTCTCTCTCTCTCTCTCTCTCTCTCTCCCCCCCCCTACTTACGCATGCTCTACCATTCATCTCTAAGCCCACTCACTTTCACTTTCTTTTAATCTGCCGCACTCTCTATCTCTCTCTCTCTCTCTCTCTCTCTCTCTCTCTCTCTCACTCTCTCTAACTCTATCTATCTATCTAACAAACAAATTATTTATTTATCTATCTATGTACATATTTATTTATATATTTATGTAGATAGCTCTATCTATCTATATATTGTTCTCTATGTTTCTTTCAGTCTCACCCAATTAAATTCGAGTCCGTGTTTTATCGAATATTTGTTTGTTTCATATCAAACGCATTATTAGTTTTTCATCTAGTAATAATTATGAGTAAATTTTCTAGTCTTATTCCAGACGAAATTATTTAAACAATAGGCAGTTTAAATAATGTGTTCGTGAACATTCTCATGAACTGTGTGGTGTTTAGTGACCGTTAATCGATAATTATTCAGCAATCGTGAGATGCCGTCTGGTCGCCAGACCGCATCTCACGATTTCTGAATAATTATCATGAACATGATCATTGAACATTTTTAATTGAGAAATTTATTCGTCACAAAGATTTCAGTACAAAATTTCAGTACTAATTTAATGTTCAAACAAGTTCTAAAAATAAATTAATATTTTATTAAGGATTAAATAAAGTTTTCATGCACAAGAACAATCTTGTAACTTGTGCCAAGTTTAACTTTACACAATGAAACTGAACCTGGAGTTCCTCGAAAAGTTTTAGCAAATTGAGAACACAACCTATCTCAGTAAAATTGATTATTATTGTACCTATATATAATATTTAATCAAACTGCAGGCAAAAACAAAAATAAAATCCATAGTGAATTTATGATATAAATACAGATGGCAGGTTTCTCCATTTTGCCGGATCGTAACATCCGAAGCACACATATATCTTTGCTTTCTGAATCATTAAAGCCCTGATTTAATTTTCTGATGCTCACCTGTCTGGAAATGACAGGAATCATCTTGCAAAACCCATCGTGATGCGACTAGAGTGAGCATTAAATTTTTAGGCAAGTCATCGTTCGAAGAGAAACTGCTCTTACTCAAGGGAATAAACTCACCTGGAAAGTACTCATTGAATAACCAAGTAAGACTATCAAATTATACATTTATAACACATAACATTACATGAGCCTGTATAGGAAACAGGAGTGAATTAAATCGTTAAATTTTCTGACAGAAATTTTACTGTATGAAAATTTTTATTTGTTTTGGAGATTATTTAGGTTTTCTCTTACACCGTACTAGATTAGTTGGTTTTATATCGAAATATTTATAATTAAGCTTTCTGAAATAGTAGAACATAAATATATATTAAATTTGAATAATTTAGGAATCATATGTAATTTTTGGTTAAATTGCTTGTTATAAACCACCCCCAACTCCTGAAGGAATGTACCTAGTACGATAAAAACACGTGGTTCCCTAACCAGTTCTAGTTTTATGTTAATAGAGAGAGACCGTGTTTATTTATACAATCCGGATGAAAATGCGCTTCGATCGTTTTCCTTTGGTCCTCAAAGAAAGAAGGAATTCAGTTAAGATCTCCTTTTTAGATTGGAATATATTTGGCTAGGGAGTACCCCATAAAAGCCCTTTTGGTCCGACGAACTGGCTAAACATTTCTTCTGGACGAGAAAAAAAAGACTACGTACAAACTTGTTTTCGTCAAACTTATCAAAATCATAAAGAATTTTTTATCTTTTAATCAAAAAAATTATCTTTTCAAATTGATTTTACTGTTTTAAAATACAACGTTTTTTTCTTTGGAAATAAGCAAAAGTTGTTTTTATTTAAAAAATAAATCCGTCGTCAACAGCGTAAAAGGAAAATATGTATAATTAGCTGAAAAAATGTCAGCTAATTAGAGGAGTGTTTATTCACGAAAGATTTCTTTGCCAAAAATGTAATTATCTCTTTTTTATTAATTCATGTTCAGGGAAGCGGTTAAACTTTGTTGTTTCCCATCCTCAGTATTCTTGTACACATTGGCCAAGATGCAAATTTATTCGTGTGTTTGTTTGGACAATCTTCTATAATCTTTTCTGAATAGTGCAACGTGATTCTTATTACTAGAATCATTGCTCAATTTCTGAGGCATTTGTATATAAAAGGTAATTCACTATGAGGAATAAATGGACAATCGTGTTAATACAGTAGAATACCAACAAAAAGATTTCACTATTTCCCTAGGTCGAGAAAACACGGGTTAAACAGATTTTCTCTTTTACCGATAATTTTTCAGTAAAATTTAATTAATTTTTCACAAAAAGTATTTTACGGGTCCTACGTTTATCAATTAATCCTGCTAAACTCGAATTGATAATGTAAATTTTAAAAACCCTAAATTTCAGGGCATAGAATTAAAGTTAGCGAATTCCATCAAATTCCTTGGTGTGACACTTGACAGGAAACTTGAGTGGAATGGTTATATTAATACATAACATATACAGGAAAGGCACTAGATCAGTGGTACTATGTAGGAGAATTTTCGGTAAAACATTGGGCATCAAACCATGGGTTGACAAATGGCTCCACTTGAGCTATCGTGACTTAGATCCATTCGGACACTAACTTCCCATCTCAACCCCACTTTTTTTTCCACATTTTTGCCATTTTTTAATTTAAAAGAAGTTAGTGTCCGAATGGATCGAAGTCATGATAGCTCAAGTGGTAGAGCAGCGGCGTATCTAGCCGAACATCGTGGGTTCGAATCCCGTTTGTGACGCTGACTTTTTGTCTCAACTAAAAACCTTCATTAATTGAAAGATATTAATTGGTCTACCGGACCACGAAAACTATTGAAAATATTTAATTTTCAATAAAATTATGAAATATATGAGAAGAAGTGCTAGAGCTCAAGTGGTAGAGCAGCGGCATATCTAGCCGAAGATCGTGGGTTCGAATCCCGCTCGTGACGCAGACTTTTTTATCTAAACTAAAAACCTTAATTAATTGAAAGATTAAATATTTTATCACATTGTTAACAGCATTCCCATTATAAATGATACGTTTTTGTTGTCGTAGTACCGAGAGCTAAAAGTTATCTATTTTAATTTTAACCTAT